TTACAAGATATAGATATAAAACATTTGGACAAACATTAGGAACAACAATAACTTGACATTAATGTTTTGGATGATGTTTGTCTTTTTAATTTGAGTGGTCATGAGTTCTAGTCTTGCTGGAGACATAGGTGGTGATAGTTAGAACTAGATTAGTTTTCCGTTTCAAAAAAAAAATTTATAAATAAATAAATAAATAAAACATTATATTTATTATGTTTTATTTAATTAATACCAAATAAATTTATTATTTATAAGTATATTAGTTATTTCTATATCATTTTTCAAACTTTTCATGTCTGATCCTATAGATTCATATATTTATAGTACAAAACATTACTTATATCTTGCATACTATATCCAACACATGACAACTTTCCTTCGAACCCTTTTTCCATTCGATTGGTTTTAACTATCGGTCGATTAATTACATGAACCGATACATGTATACATGTATACAGACACCATTTTACAAGATATAGATATAAAACATTTGGACAAACATTAGGAGCAACAATAACTTGACATTAATGTTTTGGATGATGTTTGTCCAAACTCTTAAGGTTTATATATGATGACATATCTAAACCATAATTTATCATATTTCGTAACGTAGTAACATATTGATTGTCTCCCACAAACCTCCGACCCAAAAAACTATGAATAACTAGTTCAATGAACTCATTTTGGGTAAAAAGAATGTTTGAAGACTTGGATATTAACGTGAAGATTACAATTTCACAGCTTTTTATTTTATACATAAACAATTTGGCTCTACGAAACCTAATGACACAATGGATAGACCACTTTTAAAAGAAGAAAAAAAAAAACAATTTTACATTAGCCCACAGTGAAATTTGTGATTACACCTGACAATGAGGTGAGTTTGAAACGACTCAATCTTGATTTAAACCCGTTTAACAAATTTCAAAATCAAATCCAATCCTACTCTATAAGCCGCAAAGTTTTGAATAATCAAACTCATACCCTTATTCATTGAATCAACAGTTATCCAAACCCGTCCCATAACCCATAGATTTTTTTAAGAATCAAACAAAAATGTTTATTTAGAAAACGCATTACATATTTGAGGACTTTCAATTGGAATTAAATTCACTATTGTAGTAACTTCTGATTGACTTTTGAATATCGAATGCGGTGATAGAGAATAGCAATTGCAAACTTTTTTCCGGTTGATAATGACTTTATTGATTTATAAATGAAATTAATGATTGCTTGATGAAATATTAATGAAATTTCTTGGTAAAAGATCATCTAGAAGTCCACTCCTCGAGTTCTATGTAAAAATAGTTTGGTTTTTGGCTTTTGCCATTTGGACTTTCGATTAGAATTAAAATTAACTTTAGACAGTATAAAATATAAATATATGATTCTAGAATTTATACGGGGCGGGTTATAAACGGTATTGATCGGTGATGATCCATACCCGACCCTTTTAATAAAAATATTAGCGGGTACGAGTTGTTAAGGGTCAAAACTCGCTCCATTGCAAGACCTATTTGTGATTATTTTGAGAAATTTTAAAATTTGGGGATATTTATGAAAAACCATATGAAAACATGGATATATTTGTCATTTTCTAAACAAAAGAATATATCTTTATATAGACAAATTTAAGTTTTTAACGAACACCCATTATTATAGAAGAATGAATATATGTTCTGATAAACAAGTTTCTCGGTCTTTTTTCTTTGAGTGTCTATCGTAAATTTAAGTTTCTTTGAATATCTAGTACAAAAACCACTATTTTTTTATAAAAAAAATAATAATAATAAATTACTTTTATTTCTAGCAATCAATGACTGGAATTAAATATTTTTAAACAAAAAACCAGATAAGATAGAAACACTTAACTAAAAAACTCATGGAATTAAAATGTTTTCCTTTTACCAAACACTACATAACTATATCTCCATTAGTTATACTTACATTAATTTATAAAATTTATTTAATTTAAACAAAATCCAAAACCCACTAACCATTTGTTGAAGTATTGTATTCGATCCCCTTCTCCTTTAAATATGCTCTTTCAGCTAATGTCATCCGTGATTGAAACGTTGCCCACTCCTTTTGACACCTCTCTCTCACCTAAAACCAAAAGCAATTCAAAATAGCATCCTACTTTATCAATTTTCTTTTATGTCAAAAAAGTCAAAAAGTCAACCGTACCCCTTCCCATGGTGCCTTCCCATTCTCGGAGTTTCCCTAAGAGAAAAAAAGGAAAAAAAAAAAATATTTTTTTAACAAAATAAAGTAAGTTGAAAAAATATTATATAAAGTAGATTGATATTTTGAAAAATGGGATTTTGAGAAATAGACTCTCACCTGGTTCCCGAGTGAAGGAACCGTTTGATGAATAATCCACTGAGCATCTACAACTCCTATCTTTTCGTGAGCGGGCTGTTTTAAAAGTTAAACAACCAACTTTTTATTCAAATTTATTATATTTTTGGAATAAAATAAAATAATATAATTTTGATATTATATATTATATATTATATATTATCACCTCGGCACATCTCCTAAGAGCAAAGTCCAAACCCCATCCATGGACCAAGTCGTTCTGTATATCAGGGTTTAATCTGGTAAGCTATATATCACTTTTTACTAATTTACCCTCGTTTATTTTTTCCTTTGATTTCCCTACCCATGTTGTCTTTTTAATTAAATATTTTTTTAAACATTATTTATTCATAAAACATTTTACCATCATTTTTTTTTCACCTTTCTCATTAAGTTCCAACCTTCTATATAATTTCTCTAAATGTGCACGTTTAATTAAATATTTTTTTAAACATCATTTATTCAGATAACATTTAATCAGTTCTTTCACATAAAATTCTAAATTTAATATATTTTCTCTAATTTTTTTTCCTTTAATTTCTCTAAGGGTATGTTTGGCGCGCCACAATTAGCTTATTTTTTGAGTTTTTTTAAGTTGTCATGTTTGACAAGCCAAAAAGTAGCTTATAAGCTAGCTTTTTAAAAAGCTACTTAGATTAGGTTATCAGAAGCCTTTTTAAAAATTTCCAAATATACTCCTTAATTAATTATAGAAACATATTATTTTAAATGCCCTTTTATGTCATTTTATATATTTCAGTTAGCTTATTAGCTAGTTTTACCAAACATCATTTTTTATCAGCTAGTTTTTCAGCTACCAGTTAACTTTTAAACATCATTTATTAAAATCGTTGTCAAAAACCTGGATCATATGCCAAACACAACGCCATGCATTCCGAGAGAAAACAGGAGCCATAATCTCAACAAATCTGTGTTTCATAAAAAAAATAAATTTTTTTTATTAGGTGTTAATAATAAAGCAAAGATTAAGGTTGAGATTTTATAAAAATATGTAAAGTGGCAAAAAAAAAAAAACATACGCTGCACATGGTGGCAAATGTGGATCAGTGCACCACCCATCCCTTTCCTCAGCTTCTCTAGGAATGAAAATGTGGATAAGTGAATTTACGAAATTACCCCTATTTCAACAATTGAGAATGAGTTTCATTTCTTACTTGTGCACTTCACTATCATCTCGTTTCCTTGTCATTTGCCATGTTAATCCACTATTAGCTGATAAACCTGGTTGGGAAATTTCTAATCCATGCTTCTTAACCAAACTTATATACCTGTGTATCAAATGCTACAAAGTCTTAAAAAAATTATTTACTTTTCAGTTACCAAAAAGATCAAAAGATTCTAAAAAATTCACCTTTCAGCATCAAAATCCTCCAATCCAAGATCCTCATCCCAGATGAATATATAATCATAAGGTGCCAATATATCCGGATGCAAAAACCGTTTTGCATACCACCTAAAAAATTCCAAACAAATAGTTTAAGTTTTTGAATTTATGCAAAAGGGTAATTTTGTAATTTTGTAAATAACTAAATATTACCATTTAGTTTGCTTGAGAACACTGACATGTATAGCTCTCTTTGACCATTCAAATTCATCCCATTCAGTTGTGCGTCCATCATAGTGAAACAACAAAATGGAGAAGTTCTCTGAGAACTAAACTTTCTATAATTAGATAGGTTTTATTTTATTTACACACACACACACACACTGTAAATGAAATAACCATAGCATCATTCACCAACCTTTTTCACAGCTTTATCAATGTTTTCCTTCTGCTCATAACCCACTGTAAATGTTACAAGGTACCTTGGTTTGATAATCAAATCCTGAAAAATACAAAATTTCATCCTTTCAAATAAATGTAATTACTAATTACCAAATACCAATATCAAATTAAAGTAAATAAAATAATGGATTTTTTTGAAAAAGATATTTACCTCACTGGGTATACCATAGAGTCTTCTGAGGTAGAGATCAGACTCAGATGCAACTATACCTGGTGGGAGTCTTTGAGCACCTTGAGGATTTGTTGACACCCATATCTGCATTACAATTTACAAGGATTTACATAGAAAGAAAACACATAGAGATACACAAAATGGAATAACAATAAACAAATTTACCTTTGTGTCCTCTGGTTCGTATGATGATAATCCCTTGTGATGCCTTATTAAAGACCAAACATTCAAGAGGGCTTGTGATGAGAGGCCTGAGTATTTGTCCTCTATGTAACCAAGATCAATGGATGGAAGTAGAGTAGATGGAAGGTTCATCTGTTTCAAAGACAAAATTAGGTTCATGTGAATGAAAGAATTATAAAACTGTTGAAACTTGAAAGTATACCTTGGTTAATGAAATTGTTGGGAAGGATACTCCTAAAAAGAATCCAAATACAATACTGATAAAAGTTGTTACTATTAGCCTCATTGTCTCATTTGGTCTTCTTACCATTCCACTGCATAAAAAATAATTGTAAATGACAATGAACAGATATTTTTCAGTGTAAGGAAACAATAAATCGAGTGAAGAAGAAGAAGAACCTGCGCATAGGTGTTCCCATATTTATTCTGAACTGGATGCCCTTTTAGAGCTCTTGTGAATCTAACAGATTGAGTGATTCATAACCTGTGGTTGAATGTGAACGATTATTGAGGCTTGAAGAACCATAATCAATTGAATTTAGTTTGTCAAAATCAGATTTATTTCGCCTAATATGAAGTGAAAAACATAATCGTTATCAGTTCCAAACGCTCAACACTGATTATTGCTATTTAGTTTGCAATGTGTATGCTGTTTAAACCCAGATCTGAAGCTATAACAAGTTATCGATAAGTTTAATTTCTTGTGTAGCTACAGAAATACAGTTTTTTTTTTTCTATTTATTTATATTACCAACCGACAACTATATTTACTGAATTACCAAACCACATACGGCATTCACAAACAAACAAGGTGGAGCGAGAAATCGGGGGAAAACGAACTCAATCGATGCAAACATAATGCAAATCAGCTCAGCCTAGATCGTAATCTAATTATATAAACCAGAAGAAAATGCAAATCAACTCTCGTAATCCATGAACATACACACAAATACAGCGATAACGTAAATTTCACTTACCTGAAATGAGCTACAGCAAGAGAAACCCTAGATTTGAGACGAAAATAGTGCTCGAATTTGAAATTTTTACTTCATCAAATACTAGTAACAGCTTCTAATCTCCTGAGTAAGTTCGAGAGAGCAAAATTGAAGTAACTAAACGGAGGGATTACCGAACGATTTTATTGAAGATCGATTGAATTCATGAAAGCTGATTGTAAAAGCTTGCACGAAGAATCTTTGAACAGACAAAATTCTATGATGATTGATGCGAATTGTTTATTTGAGAGCGTGGAAGATCGTTGGGCAAGACACTGTGTTGCCCCACTCTGTATTTGTGTCAGAAACAATAAGATCTTGACCGTTGGTTATGGTTTATGTTTGGAGACGTGTACGGACAATAAGGATTCAAAACTCTTCCCGCATTTTTTATACGTTATATAATAGTACATATACATAAAGTCATAAATATAATACAGCGATAAATACATATTATTCAAGGTATTTTTGTTTACGTTTGAGTTCATTTTTGCTGTTTCAATTTTGGATTTAAACATTAGTTTTTTTATTGGGTATTTTCTCATGAAACTGAGCGTATCTAAAAAATTTAGTTTTTTTTTTAATAAAAATAAAAAATGGTTCGTTATAAGAAAGTAAAAATAAAAACATAATGTTGTTATTATGTGCATTAAGTCATTTGTAGTTTGATGTTAATGTTTGTATATATTTCTATGAGCCTTTCAAAATTTCAAACAAATATTATCATATTGCAACAGAAAAGGTATATTTTTTGACCCGAAAATACGCAACAAAATATGCTCTTAGTTTAAATTAGATAAAATTTTAAACTAGACATGTTATGACAATAGTTTTTTTTTTTTTTGGTTATTTTTTTTTATTTATTTTCTAATAATGAGTTGTTAACTTTTTGTTTTTTGTCGTTGATATAACACTTCTAAACACTTGATATATTTGATATAAATCTATATTTATGTTATAATATAATTATAAATTAATATAAAATTGTCGTTTTACATTACATTTTGAAAAATATCATGACTCATAAAACTTGAATTTTGACATTGGACCGCTTCATATCTTTTAAGATAGAGACAAATGGGAATAACCGAACCACGTCTACAAAATGCCAGAACCTTTATATTAGTACAAATTTTAGAAATACAAAAAGTAATAATATTGTTTGTAGGTAATTTTATCATCACAGTTTCTATTAGGGTAAATTTGTTTTATCTTTCTATGATGCCTAAATCATTTTTGAAGCTAAAGACATGCTATAAAGAAAATCCAACATACGACTTTATGTCATAATCAAATAAGAAATGTTTAAATAGGTCAAAAAGATTATAAATCCGACAAGAAATCAACTCAAAGGGAACAATATATTAAAGAGGACAACAAATAAAGAGGACCCAAACAGTTAACTTAGGTGGTATTTTTTGATAATTTAATAAATTATACATTAATACGAAGAATTAAGAAATGATTAATTTAAATAAGTATAATTTCATAACAGATGATATTATTATTATTATTATTATTATATTACATTATTGATACATGTTTAGGACATAATTCAGTAATTGAAAGTGATGGATCTGCAAATAATCCTTTAGTGATTTTGGTCGCAATCCAATTGTTTGCAGCATCAGAATAGTGTACACCATCCCAACTAATGACCTTAGTTGGGTCTTTACAAGAATCAGCAAACACTTCACTCCCATTAATCTTTCCCCGATTCCCACAATACACGTCTTCATCCACATCATGGTACCCACAACATATCGTGAACCATTGTTTAAACCCTATCATAAATCCATATAAAAAAATGTCAAAGAAATTATTCATACATGATTAACAAAAACAAATCTTGTAATTGATAAAATAAATTTTATCACAAATTGAGCTCTGAGTGACACACCTAGGTCCTTTGCATTGCTAATTAGTTCATACTTTGCGGAGTACATGTCCACATAAATCAATATAGCTTTTGGGAGATCCGATCTCAGCTGAATTACTTTAGCTCTAAGTTGCTTGTTGAACTCAATGGCTATAGCATTTTGGTCTTTTGCACATCCAACCTCATCAAGGGAACCTTGTGGTGGATCAAGATTTTTCGCATATATTACGGGTAAGCACCCTATGGGTCCCGTATTATGTATCCAAAATGCCCTTGCCCCTTTTCCATATAATTGCTATACGTTCATGTTTTAGGTAAATGTTATTATGAAATTAATATAACCTATCATATTTAGAAAATATATCTTCAAAACAAGTGCAATAAGTATATATATGGTTTAACTCTTAACATAGATGCCACATTCTTTATTTCTCTTTGTGATGAAAACACGCATGTGTATTGAGTTATGACTTATGAGGCAACATCTACCCATATTTTGCCTTAAATAGGTTGACAAGACTTAGTTACCAACTTGGACACAATATCTTGTCTCACTCTCATCTTTATCATCTATTTTCAAGGATATATTCTATGACGTGCGTCCCACTTTGACATAAATGTGGACATTTTATAACATATTCTTAACTTATGGTTCCTAGTTTCAATCTAAAAGGTAAAAAAGAAAAAACTTACTTGAACACTAGAAGCAAATTGATTGACAAGGTCAGGGATCACAGCTCGACTCGCTTCAACTCCCAATGTCCTAAAAGCATATGCAATATCATTTTGGCCTATATCGATTGTGTATATAGCTTTCATGAAATCATCGGGTTTAGGTAAATTACTTCTTTGAGACTCCTCCTTAGCTACCAAATATACATTCTTTTAGTTAGGTAAAAACTGATAATTTAGCTCGAATATTTATTTTAAGGAATTTACCTTGATTATACAAATAAGTCGTTTTATCTTTAAGCTGATTAAAATGTTCAACTTGGACATCCAAAGAAAACGGGCTAACCCCATTTGCAAACCACGACTCATTTACACGTTTAATGGTCGCACCACCCGTTGCAAAATTCGCACCATGCGTGTAATTTGCTTTGATTGAATCCAAATATGCGCTCAAATACAACAATCCAAGTTTCTCAGCTAATTATATATCGTAAAACAATAAATTTTGTTAATAAATAAATGTTAAATACAACAATCCAAGTATTAATTAATCACAATTATTACCATAATTAAATGTTAAATACATTAATTATAATAAATATTACCATAATAAATATAAAATTCATTAATAATCTCCATAATTAATGCATTTCATATTTAATTATAGTAATATTTTTTATAATTAATACTTCTTATATGTGCCCTTAGGGCACATATTAGAAAATCCCATTAATAAATTCTTATTAATAAAACGTAAAATCACGATTATTTGTTTGTAATTCGTATAATTTTTTGTTTACCAATGAAGTCTATGATCAGGCGGCCATCGCTGGCTCTTCCGACGGGCCTCTTGAAGAAGGTTTCACCGCAGGGCGGCCCGGGAGGATAGAATGCCGCCGCTATGCCGCCAGTGTCAGAATTTGAATCACCGAAATTGTATATAGCCGGAATATGGCAGTTGCCGGAAGGCGGTGGAGATGGCTGACCGGTGGCTACTCCGGTAGCCAATGAGAGGAAGAATATGATAGCTGCCATGATGAGTACAAGCAAACTCCGGTGGTCCTTTATGTATATACACAAGCACCATTTCCTTCACTTTGCTTAAGTGTCACTTTAGCCCCTCTACTTTCACCAACTATTTTGAATACTGAACAACCAAAAATTTTAAATTACGTATATTTTAATAAAAGATGTTTAATAGTTATACATTTAAGCTTTTTATAATATTAATTAAATCATTATTGTTTAGTTTTAATCAAATTATTTAAGAGTTGTCTCCGTTAACTTGCTTTCCGCTCGTCTTCTTGTTTTAGTTGTAATTTTTGTACATTTTTTTTTAATTTAATAAGATTGTGTAATTGACTGACTAATAACATTTGTGATAAAAAATGTAAAATGGCTATGACAAATTGATAATTATATTTATGTAAGAGTATCTCCAACTAAACATTAAAACTAATCTTTTATACCAAATTAAATGTTCTCTCTATCAAACCTAACGTAATTGTTATACCATTTTGATGTAAATGATCAAAAAAAAAAACTAAATCTAGCACTTTACTATGCGTTTACTATAATTTTTGTGTACAGTTTATCATTCAAGTTTGGGTGTTAATTATATAGTTTTTCCAGTATCTAACGATATTTTAACTATAATACATGTTACTTTAATATTATATTATATGCTAAATTGATATTAATTTTTTATATATATTGAATTTGTTTTATTTTTTAAACTTATTTCATAATTTCAATTTTTAATTACATGCAGTTGACTAGTAATTGTGTTATTTAATAAGTTTTTTTTTTTTTTTTGCAAAAAGATGCACATAAAATAAATAACTAAAGTATTATTAAAAAGTATACATAAGTTAGAAAAATTAATATATTTTGAATACTCTTCTAGTGTCGATAAATAACAATACTAAAGTATCATTATCAAGATATTATTTTAATATACAAAATAATACAATATGTATAACCGTTGCATCTAAAAGGTTTATTAATCTGTTAAAGGGAAGGCTAATTATTAAAATATTCAAAATGCATGGTAATTCTAAGATCAATTCTTAAATATCTATTAAAAAATATTTGCAAAATACGTTCACACAATATATTTTTACACGAAATGACATCATTAATCGCAAAATGTTGTTGCTATTTCGTATGAGAAAAAATACGAATGTTTTAAAAGATTTTGTATTGTGGCAAAATACTTCAAGTTATCACTAATCAATTAATCTACTAATCAATTAATCTTGATTAAAGAGTCTCTAGTATTCATGTTTACTTTTCTAAATCTTATATATAGGAAATGAGATTTAATTTTTTACTGCAAATTGATAAGCCGTTTCTTTTATTCATATAGATGTTCAAACTCATGACCATACAAAGAAAAGAAGTAAGGGGCAATTACCTATAAAAACAATTTTACTGAAAAAAGAAGGATTTCACGAATGTATAATACTTCATATTAAATGTTAAAAAGATAACTTTTTATAATGGAAAACCAATAAATGTACTGTATCTCTTTTCTTTACTTTTAAAACACACATCTGGCATCATGTTGACGTATACATGCCGTTATGCTTCACCAATCTTCAACACAAATAGGCCACATTTAACTCATACAGATCATAACCTTTTAAAAATGTGTATTTTTTGCAAATTAGGGTTGTTATAATGAGTCACACTTTTATGAAAACATCTACAAATCAGATAAATATAATCTCTTTAATTAATATGTAACAATCAAGATTGCGCCAAAAAAAAGTAACATGCAATTCTAATACGTCGTACAAAAACTATGAAGGTTTTTTTTTTCTTTTGATTTATTTTTTGTTATTTTTTGGTAAGAAAGGTGTAGAGTCATTACCACCAGTACCAAAATAACGATCTCCAAATTCACCCATTCCTGGAATTACTCTTGAATGCTCGTTTAGACCGGAATCTATCTCTGACGTCACTATTTTAAGTCTTGGATATTGTCCACAAACTGTATGTATTCCTTCTGGTGCCTTCACATATCATTACCAAATAAAAATACAATCATCATTATATTTATCTTTTTATTGATAATGATATTATTTTATTTTAAGATAATGTTAAAATAAAACAAATTATAGTTGTTAGCCAAAATTAAAAAAATATTATCAAGACATTATTGAGATGAATTTATGAAAGAACTCTACTTTGGTTTTTCATTTTTTGGTTTAAACATAGAAAGATTTTTTTATATTGAGATTTTATATTATTTTTCATAAAAAAAAAAGTATTACATGAAACTTTAAATTATATAAAAACCACTATAATTTGGAATTATTTTTGATATAACCAGATTTTATTATTATTATTATTATTATTATTATTATTTATTTATTTATTTATTTATTTATTTATTTTTTTGTGATTTAACAATTATAACATTGAATTTAAGAAAAACATCTTTAACCATAAAATTAATCTTCTGATTGTTTTTTGAAATTCATTAACCCAAAAAACTCAGTGTTTTTTCTTTAAAAAAACAAACTTTCAGAGATCAAAGCAGAAAAAAATACTCTCAATGGTTAATAAAAAAAACAAAAAAAGAAAAAAAAAAAACTAGATGGCTTTTATGGAATCTGACTTTAAGAAATATGATCACATACCTATAATAGGTAAAAGGTACCTTACTTATTACAAATAATAACAACATACTTAATGTTTTATTCAAAATGCAAGTACTTTGCTATTATGGATATGGAAATATATCTACATTGTTATTATAGGTAAAAGGTACTTTACTTAATACAAATAATAACAATGTACTTAAATTATTATCCATAATAGAAACATACTTGATTTTTTACCAATAATAGCAACACACAAAACTTTACTTATTACAAATAACAGCAACATACTCGAATTTCCCTACCAATATAGGCAATCTACTTTATATATATATATATATATATATATATATATATATATATATATATATTGCTATTTTTGGTAGAGAATATAAGTACACTGCTATCTTAATTAATCCGAATTGAGCTTACTGCAATAAGGTTAAGGAAAATGATGTTGGATTCAGATACACCCTTGTTGAGCAACAAGGAAATTGCCTCCACAGCAGAATCACCTGATTAATTATACAAAAATGGTTTAAAGAATATTAAACATTATTTTTTATTAAAAAAATTGATGATAAGTTCAAGTGTATTAATTGTATAAAACCTGAAGCAAGCACTGGATCAAGTAATAAAACTTGTCGGCTTGCAATATCTTTAGGTAGCTTCTCATAAATTAACTGCACCAAAAAATTTAATTTGATTAATAAGAATATTTAAAAAAGTATAAAAAATACAAGTTTATTTTATTTATATCTATAAATAACAACATACATTATTATTATTATTATTTAATGGTTTTTATAGGAGAAATTAGACCTGTCGATCATTCCCTTCGCGTTGAATAAGGACTTTACCGATTTTGATTCCTTTACAACAAGCTCTTAATGCATTTTCCATGCTTTCCCCACTAAAAAATTGTGAAATTTAAACTTTTTATATTTTTGATAAATATGAAATGAAGAAAGAGTGAGAGACTTATGTTCTTTTGTGTGGAAAAATACGTTGTTGAAAAGAAATACCTTCGAATGACTGACACCCCACATAACCTTTTGCAGAATACCACTCCTGTGTAGATGGATCCTGCAAAAAGGAAAAATAACTAGACCGGTGAGAAGGCATTTACGTCTTTTGTACATGTCTTACTTTTTTGGGTAAGAGAAAAAAAAATATTTTTATCCCATTTACATCAATGGACACAACCCAGTACTATATGTTATGTTTTGTCTTGTCCTGTATAACTTACCTGTTGGAGTAATGATTTGTTTTTCAGTAAAAGGAAGATGACCTAAACCATGCTCCACAACCTAAAAATTATTTCAGACGTTTTAAATGAATATAAGATTATAATCTTAAATCATATTTTAAATATTTTAAATTGTCATCATACCAAGCGAATAAGCCGATCCGCATAAAAAACAAAGTCATGCTTTCTTGTTTTCACATCACGTATGAGTGTGTGCATTCCGCGAATCTAAAAGAACACAAAGTGAAATAAAATTATTTGAAATAAATTATAAAATACATATTAATAAAATTTTTGATAGAATGTTTATTATTTGTTACCTGGAATGTTGAGGGGATAACAAAAAGGTTTTGATAAATTTTACAAAGATCATGTTGGCCAAGCTTTGTACGGATATGTTGGACTATCAAGTCAATGGCCACATCATTATCTGATCCTCTAGGGATGATAATATCTGCATGCTTCTTTGATGGAAGAATGAATTCTTCAAAACTAGGTTTTACATGTTTATCATACTGCAAATCAAAGTTTAAATGTATAAAAAAAATGTTATATCCAGGAATAATTCAAAGAGGTTTGGCCTGGTGTAGCGCAGGAGGGGATAATGTGGATCAGTGGAGTTGGGTTTAATCTACAAAATTAGTTATTATCTAGTATTCAATTTGTTAGAGTTATATTTTCTAGTTATTTAGGATCTGTTAGTAGCAGGACGTTATAAATATAACGGTCCATAGTTATTTTAGGGGAAGAAATAAAAAGTTAACCTTTGGTTATTGGAGTTTGCCTGTACTCGAATCCAGGTCCTATCATCTTTGTATCAGAGTGGTACGGTTTTGATGGCGGAGAAGCTAGAGGGAAAGGGAACCAATGGAGAGCATTTGGCGGCGTTGGAATCATCTGTCAACCGAATCATTGATTCCACGGAAGCTCATAAGGTGGAGGTGGCGGTGCAAATGGAAGAATTCACCAGGGCAATTGCTGATTTAACCCTGGCGATCAAGAAACCCACCAAGAAAAACAGGAAACACGATTCTGGTTCGTCCTCTAATTCAGAAACTGATCGTGGGAATGAAAATGATGACTCCAATGATTCTGATCAAAACACGCAAAGTTAAAAGAAATCAAAAAAAGGAAACAGGAAAAGAAACGCACTCAAGGATTGCCGAACAGGTATTTTGAAGTTCAAGAATTCAGTCA